ATATATATATATCCTAATATAAAACAAATATATATATTTCCTAATATAAAACAAATATATATATTTCCTAATATAAAACAAATGATTCATTTTCTTTTTAAAGTAAGAATACCAATTACAAAATAAAAATTCAACCTCTCAAGTCTCAAGGTTTAATTTATAATCTTCTTTTTTGAGACAGTTTTATGTTGATCGGACATACCACTTGTACCATCCATTTAAAGAATACGATTGTTCATTTTATTGTTTAAAACTTTGCTTAAATAAAGACGACATTTAAAATTGAAGAAATTGAGTTTTAAACTCAGTACTCTCCCACAAGCTAAATTTTTTGAAAATCAAACCTTAAAGTCGTATGATATTGTATACCAAATCTACACTGTTCTCATAAAACTGTGGAATCAAAAGACGACGTTTAAATAATCTGATGTGCTTCTGATTAGGTTTTCAAACAAAAGGTTTTAAAAGTATTGTTTGAAAATAAACTTGTAAGAAGAAATGCACAATGGTCAATTACTGTTTCATGTTAATTGGATTCTTTGAAATCATACAACAGTTATCTTCCTATTCCATCGTTTAATTAAATAATGTGTAATCAAATAAAATTTTCAAGTCGTCATTCCTTTCTTTTTATTTTTGGTTAGCCTTGTATGATACAGCTGTTTATAAACACTTTCTTGAATTGTTGAAAAACTAAGGATTAAAATGTCCCCTAGGAAGTTCAGAGTTGCCTAAATCTGAACGAAATTCTTCTGTTACTTAAATACAAAGAAAATTGGCAGAATACATTTTGGAAATACCAAGACTAGGAGTATTTAAAATAATTATTTTAAGAATTCTACTTCTCAAACTAGGGTTAAGAAGACGATCTTTATGTCGTCTATCTCAACTGTCATGTGTCCATGGGACACCCTGTTTTTTAACAATCCGCTCATTAGAACAATAAACACAAGCTAACTTCTATTTATTTAGTGAATGTATTCTGTTAATACTGGTTGTGGTATGGACAACTCTTACTATACAGTACAGTACAGTACAGTACAGTACAGTACAGTACAGTACAGTACAGTACAGTACAGTATAGTACTTCTATTTATTTAGTGAATGTATTCTGTTCCTACTGGTTGTGGTTTGGACAACTCTTACAATACTTGATTTCATGCAGTTCCCAATGTAAGCTTATTCTACAAGGTTAACTAATAAGCATAGGAATTAATCCTATAAAGGCTGGGGGTCTTAATCTTAGTGCAAAGACCTACCCCCCTCCCGCAACCTCTAGAAAAAGAACCTGAGTCAAGATATAGGGTTGCAATGCATGATCATTTTGTTCTTAATTAATATTAAGATAACGCACATGTTTTTACAATCATTGTTCAAGGGCTTTACAAAAATGTAGGCTTTAGATCAATAGCAGAATGATAAAGGAGAGTAGCGAATTTTTAGTTACAGGGTTTCACATAAACATGGGAATTCAATGACGAATTTCAAAAAATTCTATGATTTAGTATAGTGATACCTACTGAGAAAGCTGTAATCTGTAAGAATTTTGTCTGCTTGTTCACATTTTGTTTGTTTATATTTTGACTGCATAAGGGTGTACTTAGTAAAACAAAAAATTGCAGTATACAAACAGAGTAAACTTGTCCGTCTTCACTGTTCATCTTGCGGATAAATTTTAGCAGACATAATAATATTATGGCTGCTGAATATAGGTATTACAATGCTAATTCATAACAAAAACGATATCGAATTCGGCACTGAATTCCAATGTTTTTTGGGACAGCCTGTACCTGAACATTTAATTTACAATGATGCATTTTTTATTCTTTTATATATTCGTTTTTTTAGTGCTTTTTATTATAAAGTTTTAGATAATTAAATTATCTTTTTTTTTAGTAGAGAATCAATGTTTCGGAGATATGTCCCAAATCAATCAGAGGAATCAATCAATGGGGAATTTAGAGCAAAATCAATCATTAAGCCAGCATCATTTGATCAGTCCAACAGATCAAATATTCAAACCAATGGATCAAATAATAAACCCAACACATTATCTGAATTTAATTTAGAGAGTTGGTTACGCACACAGGTATTTATGAATGTGGATCAACTACAGGGTGTTCAATGGAACATGACAATTGTTGAATAATTTTAGATGTACTAAAAAGAATAATACAAAATATCACATGGCTGTCATTATAGTAAATTTTATTTATAATAGAAATATTTATTTGAGTATAAGATTTTCTCATCAAAATAATCTGCAAAAAGTCTTTAATATCTTATATAGTACATATGAGACAACTATTTACCAACTCATGATTCGTGGGACACCCAGTATAACTAGCTTGTGAAACCTGGAAAGTGCCGTGGACAGTTTTTAAATCCACCTAGGTCCATAAGAAGAACAATTTATAAGAAAAAGCACTTCAAGAAATCCATTAAACAGTAAAATAGGAAGACGACATAATACCAATGCTTAGGGTAAAGGTTTTGATGTTGTTATGAATGCATCAAAATTTCCAAACCAAACCAAGGTCAGAAATCAACATGTTACGTGAAATTGATCTCTATTGCACAAAGAATTGCTGTGTTGGATCGCAGTTCGGTTTCAGGATTTTTGGACTGTTAAACGGTTCCACAAAAATATGAGAGATCATACAAACTTTAAAACTGTTTAGTCTCAACATTTATATTCAAAACAATTTAAAAAACGATTGTGTTCTAACGATCGTAATTGTATTGTTTTTCGTTTATATTTTCTCTTTAGATAAAAATATTGCAAAGTTTGATATAAAAGCAACTTAAACAGAAAACACTGTAATAACTTATTTTTAAATTAAAAAAAACGAACCAGAAATATCAAAAAACTAACCAGAAATATCAAAAAACGAACCAGAAATATCAAAAAACGAACCAGAAATATCAAAAAATCCTAATTGATGGTTTAATATTCTGCTCTTTGAACAAACCTATATTTCATGTTCATTGGACCATCTAAATCATAACTTTGGTAAAATTGTCTACTTCAAACAGTTTATGCAGGACCAACTAATTACTATACAACATCTCACTCATAAAGGAACTGAGTTATTGCCACAAATTTATAGAGGTCGTAAGGACGGAATCTAATAATACACAGCGATATCTTATACCAATACATATTTTCGTAAAACAAGAACAAGGGTTTGAACTACATCAATCTGTTTATATCTTGCACGAGGTAATAAAATGCTAGAAGCTCCGTCTTGATCCGAGTCTTGGCTGTGGAACTCTTCTAAGGAGGCCGATAGTCGTCTTCCCTAATCTATGCAACATAACCTTTGCTATTTTAAATTAGACTATTTAATCTGTATTGAATTATTTTAAATCATCAAAGATCTAAGACAGCGGGTTGCAAAGATATGGGGATAAAAACTCGGAGTTGGTGGCAAAAACTAAGTTCTGTTCCTTTCCTATTTGATGCCAAATTTCAAAACACAAATTATTTTTTGTTTTCTTTAGTCTGTTCGGACAAGTCTAATCCACGAAGTTTGTAAGAACCATTCTGATCTTATTTACATACTGTACAACGATAAGTTTATGTACGATGATAAGCACAATCTATTGTACTGCAGACAGGCAAAGGTAAAAGCTTTTCCGTTGAATTTTTTAAGGCGGAGAGTTCAGAGTCATTATTTGGGTTCAGTCGTGACATTGAGTATCCGGTTTGTGCAATAAACACTGTTTAAAATCTTTCTCTCCTGAACTTTGGAGGATTTTGTTTGATTTAACATTTTTGAAGATCCACTTAAATATAAAAAAACCATCAAAGCTATTTATTATTTTCTCAAATTTTATAACAAAAGAATAAAAAGTATATTACATGCTCTTAAAAAAACTGAAACAGGCTCAAGCGTTATATGAATTAGCAATGTCAAACAAAGGGTAAAAGCGCAGCGAAACTTTAAAGTCGGGCTCGTTACAAAATTTGCCGCGTTTGTAAATTGTTTTTGTTTAGGTTGGTACATCAACATGGTTAAGTTTATTTCTTGATCTTTCAGATAGTTTACAAGAAGGTAAGATAAACTCAATGATTCCCAAAATTTCCCTAATTTAAAATTTAGAAATAGATGTAGATTTTTGCGTCATTTTACGTATTGTTATTTTTCTTAATAAATAGCCAACTATTTATATAGAAGTTACAATTTCATTAAATGGTATATATGATTGAATATGTTTGTGTTTTTTTCTTAAAATCATGCTTATTAGATCGTTTTTTTTACCAATCGGTAACTCTAGTATCGTGACTCAGCCCTTAACAAGACCTGTGATTCTGCGTGATTGAAACTGTGGAATAGGAAGACGAATGTCAGTAAAAAAGGATGATTTTACATAAAAATCCAGGAATTGTTCATTGCAAACACTGCACACGTTAAATATCAATTTGACTTAATAAGTAAATTTTCTAGCTATTGCTTTAACTTTAAATTCTTTATTAGAACAATGGCTTGAAAACCCGGCTTTGCACGGAAGCTAAGTTTCCTTAAACCAAATTAAACCAAATTACTTTAGGATTTATAATCCATGCTGAAAACATTTCTAACTAGTTCCGAAAGCTAAATTTGTGGCAAATCGGTTAAGAGGTGTATGGGTTAAGATCGGATGTACAAGCAAAAACACAAACAGACAAAGAGAGATTGGTATCCACTGGAGGGATTCAGATATCCTTCCAAGGGGTTTATAATTCCACTGGAGGGATTCAGATATCCTTCCTGGGGGTTTATAATTCCACTGGAGGGATTCAGATATCCTTCCTGGGGGGTTATAATTCCACTGGAGGGATTCAGTTATCCTTCAAAGAGGTTTATAATTCCACTGGAGGGATTCAGATATCCAGGCTGAACAGGATGAAAAAAATGAGTATAAACTAGAAGGAAAGACGGATGAGAAGTATGGAAGGTTAACAAGAATGATAAACCCCCTGGAAAGATATCTATATCCCTCCAGTGGAATTATAAACCCCCTGGAAGATATCTAAATCCCTCCAGTGGAATTATAAACCCCTAGAAAGGATATTTGAATCCATCCAGTGGAATTATAAACCCATAGGAAGGATATCTCAATCCCTCCAGTAGATTTATAAACCCCCTGGAAAGATTTCTGAATCCCTCCAGTGAAATTATAATCCCCTTGGAAGGATATCTGAATCCCTCCATTTGAATTAAAAACCACCAGGAAGAATTTCTGAATCCCTTCAGTGGAATTAAAAACTCCTGGAAAGATATCTGAATCCCTCCAGTGGAATTATAACCCTCAGAAAGATATCTGAATCCCTCCAGTGGAGTTATAAACCCCTTGGAAGGATAACTGAATCCCTCCAGTGGAATTATAACCCCCCAGGAAGGATATCTGAATCCCTCCAGTGGAATTATAAACCCATAGGATGGATTTCTGAATCCCTTTCATTTTTCCTTTACAGTGCCTTTAAGAAAGTTGTTTAACATTAATCCTTGAAATATAATAACACAAATTGATGGGCTTTTGTGGCTTTTTTATCTTTTCTATTAAAAAATTACTAATAGCAAGTTTTCGAATACGAAAATCAGATGGATCTTGAATTTTACGAAAATTTGGACAATTTAGAGACCGGAAGCTTAGGAAAGGTTTTAGAGTAAGAAAAATCAATTTGTTGACTTTAAAAGTCACTAAAATAAAACAAAGATATCTGAAATGGATATTTCCTAACATTTATTTAAAAAACGAAATTGTTTTGAAATATAAAATAAATGTAACTAATGGGGTTTTAATTTAACAAAGAGTAAAACAAATTCGAAACTTCAAAATCCAACCAACCAAGATATAACCCGCCCAGATATCCATATTTCAAAATGTTGACTTTAAAAGTCACTATAATAAAACAAAGATATTTGAAATGGATATTTCTTAACATTTATTTAAAAAACGAAATTATTTTGAAATATTTGCATAGGACAAGGTTAAAATTGGTTGGTTCAGAAATTAACAAAGGAATAAATGATGAATATTTGTGGGCACTTCATGGGTGTGTTGTAGAGCTTCATGTTGGTGGAGCAGATCAACAGGAACTGGAACAACAGGGCTTATCCAACCTAGTAGGTAGAGATTGCGGCTTTATCATGCTGGATTTGAGCGATTATGTTGTCTCTGGAATGCATGATGAACTGGGAACCCTCGGGTAAGCACGCCTGCTGCTAGCTGAGTATCTGTATCATCATCATGAAGGAGTCAAGTGGCTCCTTGTGTCGGAGCTGTTACTAGCTCAACTCTCCTACTCTGACTGAGGGGCCGGGAGGTGTAGAGGTGTGGGGGGGAGGGGAAGGAAGGGCAGGGGTGACATGTGGGCGGAAAAGGATTCATGCATCTTGAAAACAAGCAACGGCATCGGAGTCGGTAAAATCGTCTTCCTTATATTTCGAATTTGTGTTAACACAATTATTCTTAAAATGGAAAAGTTATACTGTGAAGAGCGTTGCTTGTAGATAAATCCTTTCTCAAAAAATTCGACCTCACCTCATTATTTCAAATTTTTTCTAGAGAAAGATGATATTAGCTTTACAAGTAAAAGATTACATGCTAAAGTGCCGAATATGTTTCCCCTTCCACCAAACCTAGACGTCAGGTAAATAAAAAACAAAAAAATGATGAATAATTGTTCATATATCAAATAGAAAAGAATAACATTTTAGAAGAAAGGTCCAAATATTCCAATATAACAAGCCACCAATATTGCAATAATATTAGTATTTACTTTAACCCTACTGTCCCTATGATGATTGTGGGGGGTTGGGCGAGGGGGAGGTCCCCCTGAAGTTTTTTCTTAATAATTAAAAACTTCTTAACTTTTTCAACTTTATTCTTGGGAACAAATTTTGCTAATTTTTTGTGATGCATAAGGTAGGGTGAATAGTGGTTAATAAAGTAACAGATCGTAAATATATTCATTTGAAATGCTCTTGAAAATGGATGTTATACCCGTGTCACATATCAAAAGTAAAAATCAACATTTTTCCGACGCATCTTTTGAACTTTTTTTACACTCATATTAAAGTCTTTTTGTCAATGATCAGGCCTTGAAAAGTTGGACTATGGGCATGCATCAGTTTGTTATGGTTTATTTTTTAAAGGGGCTGTTTAAAAATTTCAAAGCGATCCAGCTTTTGAAGGATCACATGCCCAGTTAACAACGAAACCAGTTCAATCATAAATCTAAGTAACAATTTACTTTTACATAACCAGGAATGAAATTCGATCAATCGCATAGGTCTTCATTTATAATTCATTAATTTAAAAATTTACAGAGTTGTCTTATTAAACTTTATTATAAAAAACAAAGAAGAAAAGAAAAGAGAAAACCAATTTCAGTATAATAGGTCAAACTATAACTGTTATCATTAAGCTAGCTCGGATAAGGATCGAACTATTAACTATTAGACATAATTCATTTCTTTTTTAGTGATTTAAGTGAGATATCCGTCTCATTCTCCATGGTTCGACATCCGTTAGAAAGGTACTTTTCAAGCATCTAAAAATAAAATTTTAAAAGTGAGCAATTCACATATATTTACATCGAAAGTTTTTTTTGTCTAAAAAGTTATTTGTTTGAAAATCAAGGACGAAATTGTGAAAGTTAAAGTATCACATATTCATTATTCCGTGAAAGTCGTCTTCTCTCAGTCTGTTTAAGTTTATGTCTCTAATTGCAGATAAATGATTGTCAAAAAAGTTACAAAAACTTTTTCCATATATTAAATCAAATCATACATATTTCTGCAGTAATAAAGATCATAACTGCAGTTATCAACAAACATTAGTACATTAAATATAACATAAAACAACTGGACAGCTTTCACAGAGCTCTCCTGTGATCCTGTTAAGATATTCATTTTATAAGAAGGTTAAAGATATTCTTTTTTTTTTAAATTCATTATAGTTTTTTTCGATTCTGATGGATAATTTTTTTTAGGCTTGTGTCAGCATATTTGGATAAAATGGTCGACAAAACAGATTTAGGATTCTTAAATTTAAGGTTTTTTCAGAAACAACATATTATACTTCAAGCTTTTTCATTAGAAGAATTCAAAATTGTAAATGATATGCTTACTTACGAACAATTTTTTTTTGAACATTTTATAGATTTTAAAATTTTGTGTCATAAATTAAAGAAAAATAGAATTCTGGCCTGACTTAAACCTCTCAAAATTGGGTCAGCTGGGTGGTCTTTTTTGTATTCAATTGTTAGATTCTTGGGAATGATTTATTTTTCTGTTTCATAAAAATTTCTAGGTTATAGTTATAAAGCAATACAACCAGAGAGAAGGATGTGGGGTACTGTGGAGTATCAGGGGGGGGGGGCGGTCAGCCAAAATAAGTTTATTCCATAAACCTTGTATTTACGCCATATAAGGTTTGGCCGCTTAAGAATTTTTAAAGTTGTTTAGATTTTATGTTTTTGTTAAGAAGTTTAACCCGCTATTTCATTGGAAACTCTAAAAATATGATTTTTCAACACGCTCCTCTGACAAAATCAAGGTTATGGCGTGCTGCCGACGCGCCTAGATCTTTTTTATATGGGTGTTTATAGAATCGAATTTTTTTTCTTTTGCTATTAAATTAAATATATGTTTTTCTTCCCAAAAGCTCCCTGTAACAAAGACAACATCTATATATTATATCATTATAAATTGAAATCATTATAAAACAATGGAAGCTACAATTGCTACAATGTTTGTTTATAAAAAAAATTTCAGAATATATTCGTTTTGTCCATTCTCACCATGCATTAAAATTGCATTTTAAGAGGCGTATTTTGATAAAAACCAGTCAACGCCCCCCCCCCTTGATAACCTATAATACCCCACCGTGCAGGGGGCGCCAACACCCCCTTTTTAGGTTAGACTGAAGAAAATCAAGTCGTGATCTTTTAAGATTTTTCTTTATTTTTATATTTAGGGACAGAATTATTGAAAAATATGGAAATGTTAATTTTGAATCTTTTGTCAGACATATTGTGGACTCCAAATCCTTTTTGTGCAGGTAAGCATACAGTGAGAACCAGAAAACTCTGGATTGAATATCGTCTTAGTTCTGCGTTTTTATTAGAACTGAGAAATGTTGCAACTGATATATCAAACAAAGAATTAACTAAAAGGTTCTCAAATATGCGACCCCAAAAGCTGAATGTTATATCGTCTTGGGATACTAAAAGAAAAATTTATTTTCCTACAAACATTCGTGGATTTTTCAAAAATCTATTTCACAAATTCTAGGACGAAACCTTTTTTTCTGGCAAAAACTTATTAATTATTTTGACAGTTTGCATTTTTTTGAGCGGTGAGACCAAGGTTGTATAATAAGTAGGGTTGCTCTTTATGCGCTCCAATGTACGGAAATGTCGTCTTCTAAGATAGATAGATTAAAACCTCTATGACGTCACCCTCGACTCCATGATCAGTAACGCCATATGAGGTTTTTATTTATCTATCTTAGGATACGACATTTCCCGTACATTGGAGCGCATCAAAAGTAGCCAACTTATTATACTTATTATACAACCTTCGCTATAAGATTCAATTTAGGTAATAAATCTCTGATGATTTTAGATCGATCTCATCGTGTCATTATGATGTTCATTGGCTCCCTCAAGTAGCAAGATGCTTCTACTGTCAGGTATTTAATCAATCAATCAATCAAACAATCAATTAATCAATCAATCAATAAATCAAACAATCAAGCAATAATTCTTTTTAAATCAATCAATCAATTATTCTTTTTGCAACCAATCAAACAATCATTGAATCAATCGAAGATCCTTCGATTGCTTAATTAATCAATTTCTGTTCAATTAATAGATTATCAGTTATTTAGATAATCAATCAATCAGTTAATCATTTAATTAATCAGTCAATCAGTCATTCAAATAATCAATTAGTTCATGAATTTATAAATTAATCAAATCCTCAATAAATCAAATAATCAGGTAATAAATAAATCAATCAGTTATAAAATCAATCGATCAGGTAAACAATCAATTAATCAATGATTTATTAAAATGATCGAGCACACAATAAATCAATTAATCAATTAAAAAATCAGCTAATCTATCACTCAATCAAATAATAATTCAATCAATCAATTAATGAATAAATAAGTCATTGATCAATCAATTGATCCATCAATCAAATAATAATCAATAATAATAAGGCAATCAGTCAATTATTTAACCATTAATCAAATCATCAATCAATTGACCAATAAATCAAATGAATCAAACAACTTCTACTTTTTGAAATAAACAATACGTTTAAACTAACTTTTAGGTTCCGTATAAATACATTCTCAAACTTGAAACATTCAAAGACGATCTTCAAGGAATATCGTTAGTATCCAACGTAAGTAAACTTAGAAGGGATTATATCGATGTGTTAGACCTATCAAACACTCTGATACAAATTTCGAATGCAAAATTTCTCCATCTGATTTGTTAAAGGGCTGTATACACAATTTTGAATATCACAAAAGTTTCGAAAAAATCTCATTAAATTTTGTCAAAATGCTTGAACAGCTTAAACAATCCTTTCTAATGCATTTATGCTGCACAATAATTAAAAATTTTAATAAAAAAAAATCAATTTGTTCTAAAATGCTGCATAATAATTAATTACCATTTTGGGCATTCGATAACTGTTTTTTACTCATCTTTAGATGCACATTGCCATTTTTCGCAATCAAATTGAAACACATTTTTGCAACACATAGGAAGGTTGTAAATTATGATATAATTTACAACCTTTTTACAAGTTTGATATATCTTATAATTATATGTGAAAAATAAAAAAAATCTTTTTAGATAAAACTTCCATTAATAAGAAAACATGTGAGCAGTGGTAACACAAGGTAATTTTTTTTTTTAAATATATCATAAAAGATAACTTAATTAAGGGGCAGTAGGGTGTTTTCGTACAGGAGGGAGGGGGGGGGGGGCACTTCCCCCTTTTCAGGAAGCTAAAAAAAGACATCCCACCCCCCCCCCTTAGTTGCACCACCAAATATTTAGGTTATAAGTTTTAAGAACATTTAGTTTTTTTTCAGAGAATTGACAAAAAGATATATGAGATCTCTTCCTACTAATCTAACAGAAGAAATATTAAGGTTTAAAAAAGTTATAAAAATAAAAATATTGATCTTTAACTATTTAATTCATTACCACATTGAACTATTGAACTTTAACTGTTTAATTCATTACCACATTGAACTATTGATCTTTAACTGTTTAATTCATTACCACATTGAAATATTGCAGATCTTTAACTTGAACTATTGATTTTTAACTGTTTTATTCATAACCACATTGAACTATTGATCTTTAACTGTTTTATATTCATTACCACATTGAAAGAAGGTGTTTTATTAATAAGTAAACAATAATAAGTAATAATAAGTAAAGACAGAAAATGATCCATTTTTTCTTTCAAATAAAAATGTTGTTATTTCTGTAATATTTTATTTACAATTATATTTCAGGGTCTACCGGGAAGATTTTGAGATGTTTGATTATGATCCAAATTTATATTTAGATTAAGAAATTAGTTGATTCTTATACAGTGGTAGGCGATTATATCAATACAAGGAAGACGAATTTCGAATTCAATTTAGATATAAATTAAGCTGTTAAACAGCATGGATAGACAAAAACATAGAAGTCAAGAGAACTTGTCATTTAATAGATCTTCTCTTCGATTACATATAAACTTGTAATTCGAAAAAAGCGTGCTAATTGTCAAAACCTAAAAAAAAAAGTCGTTTTCATTGTAATGTATAATCGTTTACCACTGTACTATACCACAGCATTTCTTAATTTCTTAATATTTAGCTTATACAAACTTGCAAAGCGCTTCTCGCCCCGGTTTTTCTTCATTCAGTATCACATTTTTAAATGTTAACCCACCATTTAGGCACAAATTTTACTTATTGCATTTAAAATTATAACAAGTCAATATTTTGTAGATTTTTTGTTTATTTTAAATGGTGGAATTACAAAAAAGAAAAGGAACCTCTTCCATAAACTCTGAACTTCTAAATCCTTTTCTCTTTTTAACCTGATGTTGTATACCTTCCATATTTTAAACTATGAATGCGTTCGATCAAAGTGCTAAAGTAAAATAAATAATGATATACACCCCAATACATAATCTGGCAAAGATTAAAAAATTAGAGTTTGAGGCAGCCAAGCTCTCAGTTTCTTTTTAAGAAATGCTTCTCATAAAATAGAATAAAATATACGTACATGAATATAGTCAGATAAATGATCCTAAAGTGTCACCGTTAAAATAAATGTTTAATTTTCTAAATCCCAGTTGAAAACTTGGAGCAGAATAAAATCCTGAAATGGGTTCCTGTAAATTTCCCATTTTAAAAAGATTGGAGGGAATCAACACGGATTATGGTAATTTCTATTTTAAACAGATCTACACAATACAACACTACAAAGGAATAAAGGAACGAAAAGAAAATGTCCTCTTTGAAATATTTGAAGAAATAAATCAGGAACCTTAATGTGCATTGTGCATTTGGCATTAAGTGTTATTTCGATTTTTTTGTTTCATTTGCACAAATTTACATTTTCAATCTTTTGTGTTTTTCGTTGTACAGACTTTTTTTTAACATGCATGCACCCAATTCTAAATTTTGAAAATTAATATATTTGAATTACGGTGTTATTTGTTTACAGAAAATGACTTTCCGGAAGGAAATAAATTGAGTTTAAACCACAAACTAGAATTTCTTGATCGCTATTTCCAATTGTCGTGGATATTTCAATCAATAAATTCTCTCAGATTGCAAGGCTGAAGTTGGAGATGCCATGAGGCTTCGCACGGGGTTGAAAAGATATTAAGAGTTGAATGTTGCAACTTTCTCAATTTGAATGGATCGACGTTACGTTTTTAGGTACAAGAAGAACCTTGCGCCCATACAAATTCAGAAAGTTGCAACATTCAACTCGGATCGTAAATAAATCATTCAGATATTACAACCAATAATTATCGATAATTTTTCAAAGCATTCGTATACAGTTAATATTTCATAATATTTATTTTTTATATTTTATGAACTGATAGTTACTTTTGAAAACTTTATTCCTGTTTCGAGGATTTTTGATAATGAAGACGACATTTTTATATTTTCCAGGAATATCCTGCCTATTAAATTTCTTCTTTTTCCCATCTGAAATATCCTGTCTATGTAATATTCTGTCATTCTTTAAAATTTCCTGTCTATGAAATGTCTTGTCTATGAAATGAACTATCTATTAAATTTCCCGTCTATGAAATGTCTTTTATAAAGTCTTTCATGTAATGTCCTGTAATGCAATTTCCCATCTAGGAAATGTAATGTCTGTGAAATGTCCTTCGATGAAATGTTGTGTCTATGAAATGTCTTTTCTATGAAATATCGAGTCAATGAAATGTACTTTAAAATGTCCTTTCTTTGATATATCCTGTCCATGCAATATCATGCCTATGAAATGTCCTGTCTTTGAAATTTCCTGTCTGTGAAATATCTTGTCTATCAAATATCCTGTCTATGAAATGTCCTATTTATGAGATAATCTGTCTGTGAAATGCCTTCATAAAAAGTCCTGTCTGTGAAAGGTCTTGTCTCTGAAATATTCTGTCTATTCAATTTCTTTTATTTCAGAAATGTCCTGTCTATTAAATTTTCCATCTAGGAAATGTCTTATATAATATCTTTTATGAAATGTCCTGCATGTACTGAACATTGGCAACTTTTCATAGATATGAAGTGCTCCCCATGATAAAATGGTAGGGGAAGACAACTTTTCTATAGCTTACCAGCTTTTCGAGAAGCTCCGTATATGAAAAGTCGTCATCATTTAACATTAAATTTTGGGAAACACTGCATATTTTTGATAAGTTGTCTTCGTTAACCATTTTATTTTGGTGAGCACTGTAAATTTATGAGAACTGGTCTCTTCATTTTCATTTTATTTAGGGAAGAAAGTCTAAATTATAGTAATAGAAAAATACACATAAAAGATTGTATTATTAAAATGTGTTGATTGCGAATAGTTAAATATTATATTTTCGCACTTTTGTTTTGCTACTTATCTTATTTTGAGTAAAAAGTAGTTTTGCGGATTTTTTTAAAGGATCTGTCTGATTGTCTATCAAAAAAACAATTCAAAAATTTCACACATATTTATCAAAATGAAATTACCAAAAAAATGCTTTATTATATGCAAGATCTCGCTATTCCCTTTTTTTTACTATAGTGCTTTTTTGTGTGCATACTGGAAAGAATTAATTTAAAAACCCAATCACTTAGTGTTTTAAATGTTATTTACTAGACTTATTAGATAGTTTTTATTAGAAATAAAGGTGGATTTACTGACACTGCACAAACCTATAAAATGTGGTGTAAAACCAGACTGTTCAATGATTTAGACCAAATACAGGGGTGTCCCATATAACATGAAAATTAAAGACGATTCTACATCATCCTTGGTCCAAATCGCCTTTTTTATTTAACATACAATTGTGTTCATGATCAAATTGAAATTGAAAAATATATTTATATTTTAATTTAAAAAAAAACTAAATTTTTTCCTTGTCGACAAATATCGATAGTTTAAATTCATAGAAAATGTTATGAAGGCTTTAAATTGTAAACTTTATTTATTTGGACAGCCATGTATATGAGTTAGATCCAATTTTGGTCCAGACTTATAGTTCTCATTAAATACTTTAATGGATCATTTTCAATTTTGGAAGTGTGGAAAAGATAAAGAATGTTTAACTATCTCTGACAGTAAATAGAAAGGCCCATAGAAAAGAGAAAAGGAAGACGACTTTTGGACTCAATAGTTTATATATTCCACTGATCATAAAATCCAATGTACAATGGCTCATTTCACTGAAAAGGCTTATTTTCAAGTGAACAGTAAAGCTTTTTTTTCATAACAACTTTGAGTAGATACACATTATATTGCTGAAATGTTCAATTTCTATTCCAGATTTTTAAGGCCCCTTTAACCCTATTCCTTCTGGGGGGGGGTCAATTTGAAGCATATCCTGGTTTTCAAGTACCCCAGCAGAGATAGGGTTAAAAACTTCAAATTTTTTTCTGGCAATGAATTTATTTTGAAAACAGAAAGGTTACCTTCTTATATAATGAGAGAGAATTGGAGAAGGGAAAAAATATTCTAAAAAGTTTGAAATGTTTGAGAAGTTTATCCAGTTTTCCAGGCAGTCCAGACTAGGGCTGGCCAAACAAGTAATATAAAAAATGAAACGTAAAAAAATATGGAAAGTCATTTAAATGATCCATGGGTTATCAAATTTGCACAATTTTGCAATGGCAGCCCCCTTTTTTAAGTAAATTATCAAAATATGTATAATACAATAATGCGTTATAAAGACGTACACGTGATCGAGATTTTGAAAAGAGTTGTTTAGTTTCAAAGTATCTTACTGACTTTAGCAGAATTCTCGAAATTTTATGAGATTCCGCGAAATTTCAGTTATTACAAACATAGTCCAGTAAGCGGAACACAATTCTGTAATGCTACAGGAAATTGCTATCTTTAATTGCAGAACACTTCAACAATTATCTTGCAATATCGGATTACCATTTCGCGGGCACCCCAATCTAAAATTTGCACGATCTGTGCCGGTACAACCATATACTATATATGCAGTCCGTCATACTGTCCAGTCAGGCTACCCAGTGAAGAGTAGACCCACACCCAGCCCGTTTTATGCAACAAATGTAGTCTGGCAAGAATTCTGCGAGTTGTTTAACTGGTTTGCGGATTTTTGGTTGTTGTAAATTTAAAAAAAACTTCGGTTCGTCAATGGGACTTTCTTTACCCAGCCCTAGGTATTATAGAGTGCAGTTTACCCATCCCGAGGTATTATAGATTGAAGTTTACCCAGCCCTAGGTATTATAGAGTGAAGTTTACCCATCCCTAGGTATTATAGAATGAAGTTTACCCATCCCTAGGTATTATAGAATGAAGTTTACCCATCCCTAGGTATTATAGAGTGAAGTTTACCCATCCCTAGGTATTATAGAGTGAAGTTTGTCCAGAGACACATAGTATTCTCTTCCCTCTTCTATTCGTAGAATACTGATCATTCTTATAGTTATACTTTCAAATCATTCTATCTAAATATCTGTCTATCTTTCTATCTATCTATATATCTATATGTATATCTATCTATATCTTTTAAAAACATGAGAATCAGAAAAGTTTAAAAAATTATAAAATAAGTTCATATATTTTAACACCTATATAAATAAGATATATGTATTAAGTCAAAAACTACGTTGTCATCAAATTATAAATAGCAGAGGAAAAGTTTTCCTAGGAAAAACTTTTCCATTTACAGTGATGAGATTTTCTAGTGTAATACTTTCTCTTGTGTTATCAGGGGTGGACACTGGACATCCATGCCGCGTTATCTTTATGTTTGTCAGCTAGAAAAAAATGTTTGTACGTGTTAAATATATTTTAAGTGATCCTTCATACAAAGAGTGAATTGTCCCATTTACCCAATTTAAACCTTTGACTGTTCATGAAGGATTCTGTGCATTGATTTTGAACAGTGTGCAAATTCCCCCAAAACTGTAGTGTATCCTAGCGGGTGCTATGGAAATGCCTTACCACAGAAATGCCTCAAAAAAACGACTAATAAAACTAATTTAATGTCGTCTTCTCTCAAGCCTGTTTTAGCCGCAACGCACGGCCCCCTAGCCTGTACTATCCGCAGCGCTCGGCCCCGTCCGTAGCCTGTGGCGCTACCTAACCTATCTTAAATTGATGCTGAAAATTCGATGAGAGAAGACGACATAAAATTAGTTTTATGAGTATATGTTTTTTGAGGCATTTCTGTGGTGAGGCATTTCCATATCAATCAATAGTGTATTTTATAATATTTTATATTTTTTAGAAAACTGATTTAGAAAAATGTGAGTGGTCCGGTGCATTCTTAGATAGTTGTGCAAGCCGCAAGAGAAATATTCAAATTCAAAACAAATTAATTAAAAATATTATAAAATATAAACTATATACAAATGTGGCGAAAGATATCGATGACTTTAGGTTGTAATATCTGAATGATTTGTTTGAAATTAAATTGTTTTTTTTTTACGGTCTAAGTCGTATGTTACAAATTTCTCAATTATAATTCCCTACGTTTTCTCCAGAAACTTTTATCTTTATATTTATTTTTTATTTGACTTTTGAAGTTTATTTATTTCTTTACTCGCAAAATGCATTTAATTGCAATTAAAGTTAGACTTATCCTACATTATTACATACCAAGCTTTATTCCAGGCTTACTTGTCATTTCAAAATGTAATATTAATAATAAAAGATAAAACATTTTGCCAATTAGTTCTGAAAAACAAAAGCTAAAACAAAATGAACATGCTAGGCCTACAAAAAAAAACATAGGTAAGTTAGAGAAGTTAAATAAAAGTTCAAGGCTTTGCGACACTTCAAAACTGACCAGGTCATGAAACTTTTTGAGGCTGCAGTCTGGATCTAAATATGTATTATAAATAACCCGGTAATCGGAATAATATAAATTGATTGACAACTTTAAAAACCTTCCAATTAGCTTTTAGCATTTATTATAGGTAACCTGCTTTTTAAATAACACTAATTTTTAAAAACAATAATAAAAAAATAGCCCAAAACCTGCTCCTTCAAAATTATGGTCTTCCATGGTTTGCTATTAAAAATGCCAGAGATATAAAGAACTTTGCTTAAACTTCAGTTTATTGAATAAAACCATGAAAAAATCTGATTCTGAACAATATAATTCAAATCTACGGTACTTTGAAAGCACAAAGTTTGCAGACCACATTTTGGAAATAGCAGGATTTGTGATATTTTGTGATTATTGTTTCATAAAAAATATTGTATAATAATGTTAATTAGAATAAGATTGTTTATAGAATAGTGATCTCTGTATGTTTGTTTTTGTGTCTGTTTGTTTGGATGTCCGATCATAACTCATGAAACCGTTGACCAATTGGCCTCAAATTTTGAACTCGGTAAAAATGTTTTAGCTTGTTCAGAGTGGGTACTAGGTAGCCTTTATACAAAAGTTTAGTTTCCAGGCAAAGCTGGGTTTTGTAAATTCTTAATTGATTTTTTTAATAAAAGCCCATTAGGATTCGTTGCGGTTTATAGAAAAGTAGCCTATCCTAAATAGCAAAACCAAAATATAGAGCATCACTTTATGATATTCAACAAAAATTTAAATATTTAGATTATGAATATTATACAATATTAAATACCAAATTTATCATATAAATTAACTGTACAATGTCAATATGTAAATATTTTTTATTTACTTTCTCAAAATAAATGATTAACAAGTTTTGTAATTTTCAGATATTTTATCTTTATTCCAAATATGAAAATCACAGTTAAATATATTCAGAGCAGAAGGTTTTACATTAAACACATTTTTAACAATTATCAAGACTCTAAATTACACATTTTTTTCATTATTATTAAAGTATCTTTATATAAATTTAGCTTGTCTGGGTGTGTTTGTTTGTATCCAATAAACGTCAAAACGGCTGAACCGATCGGGCCCAAATTTTGTGTAGGACATCACGTGACCCCATTCAGGGAAGGTTTATGAATGATCAAAATTTGAAAAATTGGAGTTTTTTTATTTTTGTAAAATTTTGAAAAAGCGCGAAAAAATATTATGAAATCCGCAAACTTTTTTTTTTGATTTTGTTTTATACTGTACTGTACAATTAAAAGTTGAAAAAAAAGATGGGCGCGAAAGCCTTGTATTTCTATATTTTGAAAATTAACAAAAAGACACATTTATCATTAAAACATGTCTCTAATGTATAAAATTAAAACTCTTATCTTTTAAACAGAATTATCTTCCTGCAGTATAATTTAAACAAAATTTTTTTTGGAAAACATATATATTTACTCAAAGAAAAGGATTATGTTTAATAAATGCATTATAGAGTGTTTTATTTCTTTTAGAAATATTATTTCTTTTTAGTTAGTAATTGTTTAAAGCATGACAAAAAAAATTTTCTTTTTTAATATTTAACATTTTTTATTTTATTTGAAAACTTGTCCTTTGCGAGTATACAGTCTATACGTTTATCTTCCTTCGCGCCCTCCGTGTCTGGAACTTTTGAAATAATCAGATTTAATAAACCGAGTTTTGGAGATCTCATTTTAAAATCATACTCCTCTCAATTAAAAGCTATAAAAAGATAAAGTTGATAAATTTGCTTGAAACATAAACTAAAGAAGCTACGAGTTTAGAAAGTGCTACCATGCAGTGATGTCTGCAATGAGATTTCCTAATAATGTCGACGAATTACATCTCCAATAGTTTCCATTTTATATAAGAATCTCCATATTTTGGACTGAATGCTTAATAGAAATTTCTGAAACCAGTGTTTTAAAACTGTTTATCCATGTTTTGAAACTGAATCTGTACTTTGTAGACTGTATCAGATTTACGAAACCGAGTTTAGATCGCTGTACCTGACATAAGTTTCCGCCACAACTGATAGATTATATAAAAGAGAGATAAGTTTTCTACATATAAACAATTCTAACCTATATATTAGCAGCTTTAGAGTGACTTCTGGAGGCATGCTGAAAATAGGTTTTATTCTCTTACTTAGGTAATTAAAGCATGCATGCAGGGGGGGGATTTAATCCAATTCTGTACTCTCAAAAAAGATAAAACTTAATTTGGGATTAAACTTTGAGATAAATTATAATGTAAAAGGATTATTTACTGTATTTTACAATCCATTAAATGACACACAACATTTGGATTTTCAATTTTCCTTCTTTCATCTTAGTCAAATTATACATCGCTGTAAGAGGTAAATTTGTTAAGTAAAATGTTGAAAAGACAAAATGAGTAAATTTTTTTTAATTCTTAAATCTTACAGAGATAAATTCTGTTAATGTAATGTTAAACCACACATGCAGTGGAGAGAAACCTCTGTTCGTTTGTTTGGATGTCTGATCATAACTCATGAATCACTCGACCAATCTACCACGGGTTTTGGCATAGCTTGGCTTTGAGATTCTAAGTTGAGTGGGTCTACTTTTATATGGAAAACTAGCTAAATTCGACAAAGCGCGGGTAAACGGCGGGATTTACTATTAGTTGGGTTCTCAAGCTAATACTGTATAAAGTATAATAGGAAAGATAAGAAAAAGTGCACCTTACAAGCTGGCCATTAAACGTGGATTAAGGGAATTTAAATTATTTTTTGATATATCTTTAAAACGTAAAGAAATTCTACTATTTTTTACCCCAAATAATATTCTCTGCTCTGTGGGTTAGATATTATAACCTGAAGATTTAAATTATTTGAAAAATAAATAGGATTTTCTATTAGTTTTCTCTTAATGCCAGTAAAAGTGTTTTTCATTCCTTTAGCTTGATGTTGCTCTATTAAACTGCGAAATTAAATGAATGACACAATGAAAATCGTTGGTGCAATAGGGCTGGACTTAGTGATGTAAGTGCAATAAATTCGGAATATTCGGAACAAAATATGGCTGGACTTAGTGATGTATGTGCAATAAGTTCGGAATATTCGGAACAAAATAGGGCTGAACTTACTGATTTAAGAATAAATTCGGAATATTCGGAACAAAAACTTTTAAAAAATTATTCACTAGGCCAAATTTTTACCTTGACAGATAATGATACAAAAAAAACTATCTTAAAACGATCCAAAAACGAAAGTGTCATTTTTTGTATAAGCAAACTTTAACAGAATACAAGTTACCGAACCAACTCCAATACTATACGATGCAAGAGTAGAGAAGATAACATGACTTTTAAGTTTCTAATTTTATAATTTATTTTTCGTGTTTCAGCACAGCACTGGTGCTCAGTAACACTGCTAAATCTTCAGCAGGTATTATATAACAAAAGTGTAATAAAATAACTTTAAAGGGACTGTAAGCGTAAAGTGGCCCTCCATGAAGAGAGGGCAATGCCTGATTTTACAACCGTACCCTTTAACTCTTTGTGTACACGTCGTACACGGGCAGACGTAGTACATTTGAATTTTCGAGCCGGGTCAACCGACGCGTTACGGTCCCGGTGTATGTACTGTATCGACGGGACATAGGGTAAATAAAGCAGACACTCAATAGCACTAGCCGATGCAACAAGGTTGACGCGGTTAGACTTTAGGTTGAATTTACTTTTACTAGAGGGTCATAAGTGCTTACAAATCTCTGTACACGGGTACGGTGGTAAGTCAGGCATTGTCGTCTTTGAATTAGAGGTCACTTAAACTTACGTTTACAGTCCCAAAAAGTAAACTTTTTTAGTCCTTGACCATAAATCAACTTCTGGTTCTCAATGCTTTAAAGTTTTGGACAGAAATTTTCTCTTATTTAGAAGGTTCAAGCTTTTCCCGATTACAACTTGGAGACAAATAAATTCTAAAAAGGCGAGAACCTTCGGAGAAAATAATAGTTTTATAGATATATCTATGGGATGTTTGTCTTTCTAATAAAGTTTTCTTAATATTATTAGATATTTAGAAGTACAAATAAAAAACAAACGTTAATTTCGATTTAATTTTCATTTTAATTGAAAAATAAATATAGAAATAATATCTTTATTTAAATTTGAATATAAAAGGCGACAAGAAGGAGATACATTTATTCAGATGGAATGAATACAATGTACAAATATATAAATATTCATCTTATTCTGCATCAGTTAAAGCACTTTATGTGCAAACCCTTCCTTTTAAAGGATTATACCGAAATAGGATCGGTATCTTAGCTTTCATAAATTATAAATATTCTTTAACTTTATGCAATAGACTGCTTTGCATGTTTTTTCTAAAGACATTAATTAAAAACTTAAACCACTCGATCTGAGGTCTGAGCTGAAAACTTTAGAATGGCGGAAATTGAGATTAATCCTTGATCCTCTCTTTTTATTGATATCGAGACTAACCTAATCTTGTACTTGTATCCTGAAAAATGTATAAAATCCATCCAATCATGGAGTCGCGTATACGATGCCGATAAATTTGAAATTTTGCGCGCCATTTAAGATTAATATACAGAAACAGGAGAGACTCTCTTATTTAAAAAAAAACTGGTTTTTGGTTTTTCTCTACTACACCCAAGAAAGAACGGTTTAAGAAGAACATCAAAAGTGTGTCCGTTGGGTACTCAGATTAAGTAATCGAGATTAAGGATATCTCATTCTAAAGTTTTCAGCTCTGGGCACTTTTGATTTGAAGACACATGCTTGATATCTTCATATGTTGATCTGCACTAGATAGATATCAATGCTTGATCTGAATATTCACAATACAAGAGTTCAAACCCCTGATCAAAAAAGAATTCAATATGATCTTGTTAGTGTGGCATAGCACACTGTAAACCAAGATGTGCACGATGGCACACAAACATCGAGAAATATTTTTCCAATTTCTCTTTTCAATCTTTATAATCTAGAAACAAGACCGTTGCATTTGTGAAATGAATATGCCAAAAATGCCAAAATATGAAAAAATAAGTGAGTGGGTTTAGAACAAAATCAATTATTAAACTAGGATGTGGAGATGGGAAGGTGAGGGGAGTGAATCTAGGAGGTTGGATAATCAACTATTAAACTAGGATGTGGAGATGGGAAGGTGAGAGGAGTGAATCTAGGAGGTTGGATAATCAACTATTAAACTAGGATGTGGAGATGGGAAGGTGAGAGGAGTGAATCTAGGAGGTTGAATAATCAACTATTAAACTAGGATGTGGAGATGGGAAGGTGAGAGGAGTGAATCTAGGCGGTTGAATAATCAACTATTAAACTAGGAAGTGGAGATGGGAAGGTGAGTGGAGTGAATCTAGGAGGTTGGATAATCAACTATTAAACTAGGATGTGGCGATGGGAAGGTGAGAGGAGTGAATCTAGGAGGTTGAATAATCAACTATTAAACTAGGATGTGGAGATGGGAAGGTGAGGGGAGTGAATCTAGGAGGTTGAATAATCATCTATTAAACTAGGATGTGGAGATGGTAAGGTGAGAGGAGTGAATCTAGGAGGTTGGATAATCAACTATTAAACTAGGATGTGGAGATGGGAAGGTGAGAGGAGTGAATCTAGGAGGTTGAATAATCAACTATTAAACTAGGATGTGGAGATGGGAAGGTGAGGGGAGTGAATCTAGGAGGTTGGCTGGTTCTTGAACCTTGGATCACACCAAAGTTCTTTGAGGAAGTTAATGATGGTGGAGATAAGGTAAATTATATTAATTCAAAGTATTTTAGTATTCTAATGTTAAGAATTAGGGCGGTTTAATGTATGTGACACAGCTTCCCCTGAGAAATCAAAAATAAATCATTATTTAAAGAGACTGTAAGCGATTTACAACGTTATTCTTAAAACCTGAATCGGAGAAAAAATGTGAAAGATACATAAAAATATTACTTTCTGTGAATTTCTCCATTTTTATTCTGATAAGCAAGAAATGCGCAAGTCACTTTTGAAGAGAAACCACAGATCAAATTTAACATTTAAACAAACAAAAACATGGATATCTAATTCATACTAGATCACACAAAGCTTTTAAGGATACTGTTGTAAATCGGGCAGTGCCATCTTTGCATGGTGGGTCACTTGAAATTCCGCTTACAGTCCCTTTAAAAAAGTAACTACCACAAAATATCCCTTTATCTTTTGTTGACATATTTTCTGTACTTTCAGATTGTGGATGAATACACCTATGCCCAATACTTGGACCCTGCGGTGTACAAGGAACGCATGGTCAAACATTGGGATACTTTCTACACTAAAGAGGAGTTTGCTAAACTAGCAGCCTGTAAGCTATCACATCTAAATGGGAAGGGGGGTAGGGCTGGGCACGATCCAACTTTTCTAAACGTTTTGTTAACGGTTAGTTCCAACCGTTAAAAAAAGGTCAGGTGGCTGGGTTTTAAACATAAGAACAGAGCGTTAACGATTTAAAAGATAACGGTTTTTGCCGTTCGTTCAAGAACTCTTTCGTTAATTTTCTGTTTCCTAAGCGATACTTTGGCCAGCCCTTGGTAAAGGGGGGGATGTAATTCAGGGGAAGAAAATTCCAATACGTGCTTATGTTCCAAACCTGCACACTGAGTGTCAGGTTTGGGCACAAATATTATGATTAACGTTTTAGTAATTCTCCCTGTCCCGAGTGAATATATCAGTAAGATAAACTATTTTAAACATATTATTAAGCACAACGAGAACTAAAAATAACATTTTTCACTTCTATTCTAGAATTAAAACTGTAAGCGTTTGTTCATTTTTAATAAAAACCCAAACCATGTTCGAAACAATTCATGGTTTTTCATTTTCCCACATGTCACGAATTTGAATCTTGGACGCATTTTGAAACATTAACAAACTTACATAACAATCCATGATTTGAGAATATTTAATAATTCAGAACAAAACGGACTTTCATAATTTACAGAATAGTAAGTATCACCGAAAATATTTCTATCTACTAATTTATTCTAAACTTTGTTTCCACATTATACTTTTTAATACAAAGAGTAAAGATGACTTCAAGTTTCATCCATTTTTAATAACAAATTTCCCGCATATTTTGTTAAATTTAATTGCAAAAACAATATACTATTAATTATGGAAATTTTCAAAATTATATGATGTTTTTAATTACAGGGAACATTAGTTCCAAAACAAACCAACATTTAATCTTGTTTTGTAATGTAAGTGCGTAAATGCTGGGGGGGGGGGGTCAAATTGACCCCCCCCAGCGTATCCTGGTTTTCAAGTACCCCAGCAGGGATAGGGTTAAAAATTGACACTGATATAAATTCCGGTAATTGTCTCAAAAACACCTTATTATTAGTTTAAAATTGACATTTGCTCTTTTTATATATAGTTTAGTAATTTTTATAAATACATGGTGTAATTTTGTTCTACTGTCGTTTTAAGATATATACTCTTGAAAAAGATAACTTTGCAAATTTGTTAGTTTTGGAACTAATTTCCCCTGAAATAAAAGAATATATTTTTTTACATTTTTATTGTTTTATTATATAAATTCTACTTTTTACAAAAATATGTGTGTTACCAAATTGTGTAAACTGTAAATGCTTGAACATATTATTGACTTAAATCTGTAAAATATTTTAAAATCTCGACATGTTCTTTCTAAAACATGTTTTGTGCGCGCCCAAACTTCCTATTTGTTTCAGAAATTTGACATGTTCAAAATAAAATCTAATCATCAAAAATTGAAATTTCTTTATTTTCAGGGGTTTGCTATTTAAGATTTTGTTATAAAAATGTAAATTAAAGTTTGCAGACGGTTTTTTCTTCTCGACCTAAATTAAAAAATAAACCGTTAAAAAAGATAACTTTGCACATTTGGCCAAACAATGGCACTCAGTGTCAGCTCCGGGCCAAATCAAGGTTTGGAATTTCTTCCCCTGTAATGAGAATATGAAAATCTAAAAAATGACAATTCAAATTTTAGCTGGAATAGAGATTCTCCGTATTCCTATTGCATACTGGTATTGGGATGTTATCGAAGGGGAACCATTTCCTCAACCTAACATGGACGATATGGACCCTGAGAGGTAAGAACATCAAACATGCAAAATTATAAATGCCCGATTTACAAGTTACCCTAGAAAATGTGGAATTTAATCTAATCTTTCTAAACTCACAAGTGTTTAGTTCTAATAAGATCTCCATTGTTTCTTATAAGTAATGTTAATTTCACTACCTTAGAATAATTTTCTAACCATAAAACTGTTCATAAAATAATAACATAATAACATAAAGTACCATTCTTAACATAAAGTAACATTCAATTTTGATGGTTATTATATCGTTAGAAAGAACTGACGAGGGTCAACCCAGACCGAAATATATTTTCAATAAATGTGGAACTAACATCTACTTCTGATCTTATTCTTAGGTTAGCCATGAGGAAACAAGCAAATAGAGGCATGTAGACTGTAGCATCCTCTTTTTATAGCTATTTGTTTCAGTCCTTTGTTTTACCTGCGCCGAGCTCTGGGCTGGATGGAAGAATATGGACTTAAAGCAAGTTTTGACCTTCACACTGGACCTGAATCTCAGAATGGATATGATAACAGCGGTAGAAGGTAGAAACAACACATTCATGGTTTCTACTACTATGAATTTATTGTACACAAGAGAATAATTGAAGTTTAAATCCGATATTGGCGTAGATGCTCGGATTGGAAACTGGGTTTAAAATGGGTAAAGTTTGGTATAGGATGGTGTTAAACCTGAGAGAGTTGTAAAATTTTCAACTTGAAGCAAATATGAATTAAGTCTAACAACTTGGAAAACTTTATAAACTGAGAAATATAATCTTGAGATCAGAAACCTGGAGGTTGAAAAGTTTTTAAGTTCAGTAGAGAAATCTGGAGGGGGAAACAATAGGTTGGTAATTGGTAAGGGGGAGGACTAGGTTTAAGAAAAGGGGGATGTCAATTTGGAGGTGAAACTCAGAGGGTTGTGAAAGTGGCATAGTGGGTTATATACAGCAATGAAAATTCCAGTTTATTTCAAGTATAGTGTAACTTTGAACCTGCAAGTGCAAGCGGTGCAGTACACATACAGACAATAAAAGGCAAAACGGGACAGTACGCCAAATAAACTATCCCCTTCTAATGAAATTTACGTATATGTATACAGAAGTTGGTGATCAGGTGACTGCCAATTTTCTCACTTTGGTGACATTTATCAACAGAACGTAATGACTAATGTCTACTTTATCCAGGGGAGAAATCCACTGGGTGGATGGATCTTATCCTGGAAACAGGATGAACTTGGACAGAACTGTGAGTATTGTGGATCAGTATGCACAGACCATCAGGAACTGGGTTGATTCTGGTGTTATCAGGTATGCTTTGGAAATAACAGTTATCAGTTTAAAATATGAATTCAGCTCTGTACTAGCTACGTCCATACAGTACATTGAATAAATAGAGTTTTGGCAAGTATTGTTTATACTCAATACAAATGTATCTAGTGTTTTGTTTTGTTTGGAAAACCAATAATACACAATTAAGATTGACAAGATGCTGATCAGTTAAAAATTGTTTTCTACAGACTGATCCCAAGAAGTATAACGTTTTCTTTGGCCTTTTTGTATGAAGAGCTCATGATGTACAAGGGGTTGTACAATTTATAGCTTTACAGAGCCCAACACTTAAGACAGGGTATCGTTATGATAACCAGTTTTGAAACCCGGGTTTCATGAATGGGGTCAGGCAGTTTTGTGAAAATAAATATTTTTATTATGAACTATATTTTATTTAGTTTCTTTATACTCTCCATTTTTTCGAATCCCTTAGAATAGATCAAAATCTACAGATATATTAAGACCCCAAAAAGAAAACTAGGGAGTTTCGTTCAATGATGCTCTTTTAATTAAAGAACTGCAAAGTTTTTTTTTCTTCTAAAAATTCCAATTTTTCTATTCCTTTTATCTTTAAAACCTGTCAGTATAAACCTTTAATCATACATATACTATTCGATATATCATAATTCCTAGTTTGAGAAGTCTACGACATTGTGGGAGACATAGCGATTAGAAAATTAGAGTTTGTGGCTAAAACTTAGTTCCATAAGAACAAAAAGCACCACAGTTTTGCCACAATGTTGTACTTTTAAATACCACATTACAGAAAATTTTCCATTTTTGAAAAAAAGAATTTTAAAAAAAAGTTGTCGGCCTTGATAAATTATTAGTTGATAATCTTAGAATGGCAATTTTTTCAGATCATTTTTTTTGTTAAGCATTGATACCGTTTACGGCATTGGAATCCTGAATGAGCCACATGTCTGCGGGGGATGGAACTTTGATGGAGTTCTTTGGCCAGCCTGTATAGATGATTTCTACCCTAAAGGTAAAGGTCTACAGCCTGTATAGATGATTTCTGCCCTAAAGGAAAAGGTCTCCCGCCTGTATAGATGATTTCTACCCTAAAGGTAAAGGTCTACAGCCTGAACAGATGATTTCTACCCTAAAGGTAAAGGTCTACAGCCTGTATAGATGATTTCCACCCTAAAGGTAAAGGTCTACAGCCTGTATAGATGATTTCTACCCTTAAATGAACAAATGAATTTAATCAATACAATAGAGTTTGATATTATCTAACAAATACAATCATTAATTATTTCATTTTAGTGAAGTAAAAATCTGAACTTTTAAATAAATTGTTTGAATTTATCAAAAAAGAACAAAAACCTTTGAAACTTGTTAATTAAAATCAAACCAATATTGAGTAGTTCAAAGGATAATTTAAAGAGTGGGGGGGGGATAAGCATTATGATAATTTTTATGGATGATGGTCAAGTGAAAACCAAAAAACACTAGAGTAATGTTGTTCTTTAATTTGTTCCTGAGAAATCTTGTGGTTGTAACGTCCTTTTAAATTTCTAAAGATTTAGTTTTGAATTTCAATCTTTCAATGCAGTGTTGCAGAAAGAAAAGATATTTAATTTGTTGGTTTTCAGTCATTATAGAAGATTTAGCTGAAATCAGTTCTAACCCTATAAAGGTTGAGGGGTCTGAATATATGAATCTATGTAAAGCCTGGGGGGGAGAAGGCCTTAGAGTATAGGTATATAATTGAAATGGATGTGCATAGCTCAATTTTTCAAGGCCAGCTAATTGAAAAAAAATAAAATGATAACTTAATTAGTTTAGGTGCTAGGGAGGGTTGAAAAAAATGCCAAAAACAGACTTGTGTTTTGAACATCCATTTTTCAAGGGCCTTTCAAAAATAAAGTCACAAGTTATGGGCTATTTTAGATTTTTTTAACATTGACCGGACTATGCATGAAAAACAAATTCTGTTACAAAAATCCTTTAAATTTCTATTCATTAAAAGTAAAAAAAATGCATGGGTATATATGTCAAAAATGTGAGTGCTAGGTAAAAACAACTAAAGGGGGTAGGGTTTAGGGTTAAGTAGAAATATTTTCATATAATAACAGACTCACTGCAAAAATAACCGCTATTGAACATTCAACAGGACAATCACAGTTAGATATATCGCACAATCTGTGCAATATAAACATATAAATATAGACATGTATATATATGCACATCTTTCATCATATTTTGGCTAAATTTGAAAAAAAAATTTGGGACATCCTAGCAGTTGCCATGCTGCTAGATTAGAAGTATGTTGAGAGGCGCCACCTTTCCTTTATTCTTAACTCTGTTTTGTTTCGTGTTTTCTTTATATCTGTCTCATTGCTGATTCAATTAAAGAATTTATTGCTTTAAACATTAGCCTAGACTATAAAATAGCTGCTTTAGCAAAATCTAATAAATTGGATGCCTGTTCTACTTCAATCATTATATCTGTAAGGAAAAATTAATTTTAAATGCTAAGGTGAATCCTATATTGAAAAAAGCAATTCGAAAGAATATAAAATGTCGTCTTGAAAGTTTGTTAGTGAGCAATGCCGCTAAACCTTATGTAAACAAAAGGATTATAGAAGTTGTCTTGTATTTTTCCAAGATTGGGAAAGGTTTCTGCTCACTGCTTCACAGGGATATGTGTGATTTACTTTAACATAATTAAAACTTCTGCATTCAAAGTTAATGAAGGATAAATAAAATTTTCTAATTTTATAACAAATTATTTCATTCAGCCCATGATGCTGTGAGGAAACACTTCAGCGGAGAGGAAGCAAAGGTTGTTGTTGATGTTGCTGGACGAGCTCTAAGTGATTTTGATGGACAGCTTACTGGGGGTGATGTTGATATTGATGCTCATAACTATCAGGTAACTAATTATATTACATATGTTGATTCTTAAAGACTAGAACCAATTCCTCCCTTAGGAATTTTATTGGCAGCCAGATTTTTTTTGATTTTAAATTGTTAGAAATAGCTACTACATCAATTGAAAACTCTAATAAAATAAAAAAGTTAAAATATGAAATTGTTATTGTTTGAAAATATACAGAAGAAAAAGTTTCCATGCCAAAGATGTAATGAAAATGAAAATAGGGGTGGGGTAAAAGCAGAGTTAAAGCTAAGTTAATGCCAATTAAAATTAGGCAATGACAGACATTAACATGAAAAACAAAATAGCAATTTCTGTTGTAGTTTAAACAGTGGTAGGCGATTATACCAATATAATGAAGACAAATTTTGATTTAAATTTTGATTTATATCAGGCTTTTAAAGAACATGGATACACAACAAAATGGAAACAAAGGGAAGTTTTCAATTAAAAAGGCTTCTCTTTATTTACCAGTAAACTTGTAATTTGAAAAAAATCTTGCTAATACTTAAATAAAAAGGTCGTCTTCATTTAAATAATATAATCGCCTACCACCGTATATATTTCATATGTGTTTTTATAATTGGAGGATGGGACCAAATTTGATGAATTTGAGTTTTGCTACCTGCTGGTGGTTCAAATTTGAACTACCTACTTAAAGAAGGTTTAGAATTCGAACAGGCGATAGGCACTTCAGGTTCAATAAACCAAGTACTGGTTGGTTTTATGTGAACCCTGTGACAAAGAAAAAAATTAAAATGTCACAGTAAAAATAATCATTTAATTTTTTTTCCAGTGTTTTGGTGGATACTGGAATGAGGTGGCATTATCTGCTGATGGATGGGGTACTCATATTTCTGCTTCCTGTCAAATACAGGTGAGGCTATTATTCAGTTTTTTAGTAAACAATTTTAATCTCTCGCAAGGCTTGGATTTTAAATATTTTAAATTATTTTCTTTTATCACCCTTAATAAAATTGGGGATTTCTGATTTTGCTTTTAATCAGGGGTATTTATTTTGTAGAAATATTTCAACATTTTAAAGATGTGTAAAATAGTTCAGAAGATTTTGGAGGAAATTCATTTATTTTCCTGTCATACAGTCTACAGACAGCGCTAAAAATCTTTAAACCCAACTTAAACTTTTCCCACAAATTTTGGGAATGGTTTGGGGAATGTGTCTTAAGCAAAATTTAGTTTAGACTAAAGTAGCTATACTGTATTAACATCTGACCTCCTTTGAAGAATGACACTGTTTAGAATGATCTAGCTACCAGCTCTCTACCAGTTTGGGTTGGAGAATTCTCTCTAGCTGTCACAGAATGTCAGAAATATTTGAGTGGAGGTTACCAGGTTGAATACCATCCTCCAGATAGCCCAGATTATCTGTGCGAGTAAGTGTCTTGAAAACAGGGTTTTTTTTAATATTATAATTTTGGGACATTTTTTTCTGAATGCAATAAAAGGAACACTTTTTTACTTCGGGCATAAGCACAAATTTGCTCTCTATAAAAAGATCCAAACTTATTTGGAAATATTTGTGCACAATTTAAATACTGCAACTTAATGTGTTGACAGTTGTGGGAAATTTTAGAACATGTTTAGTGATCAGAGCTTTTTTCAGTGACGTTTTTGCTATTTTGGTAATTCTCATAATTTCTTATTTCAGTTATTACAATTCTGATTTCTCTACCTACTCTGAACAGTACAAGGACTTCCTCAAACAGTTTTTCCTTGCTCAGATTGACAGCTTTGAATCAGGTCAGTCAGAGGAGACTTTGCCCTGTTTGTTTTATTTACAACCTTGGTATCCTACAACTTATTTACTTATTTGCTTCATTATTTTTTTTATTTTGCAACATATTGAAATCAACAATCTGATTTTCCTATTTGATGAGTTTCAGGTTGTCATTAATGACATATGTTGTTTAAAGCTATTAATAATTTGAAATTGAAATTTTAAACCAAATTTTATTACAATCGTTTGTGGCAAGTTGCATTGATAATGTTTTTCTTAGCGGCTGGATGGGTGTTCTGGACTGCTAAAACTGAAGATCACTGTGCTCCAGAATGGGATTATCTGTTCCTTCTGGAGAATGGCATTGTTCCTGCAGATCTCTGTAACAGAGACACTGTTTGTTGAATAATTTTAAATATATCTTTATAGAACAATCTGTTTTAATCATTTAAAACACACTGTCCATGCAACTTAAATCTTGGATTGCATGGAAAGACAGCTTATAAATGTTTTCAATGATCCTAAGTTAGTGAAATAGATCCCCTAAACTTGCAACCCCCAGCCCCTTCCACAGAGCCAGAGGCAGGCTCTATTTATTAAACAATAAACTTGCATATATATTCAGATTTTTTACTTTTCTTATTAATCGACAATGTCACAATTTGTCCATTTTATGATTATTTCTCAAATTCTTTCATGTACTTTAATCTTATTTACAATATTTTTTCGCGGGGTTTTATTTAATGATAAAATGATTGGTAGTTATGGTCAGATGACAAATAGTCAGGTAGATTATTATATATTTTAAACTTTATTTTTTCCTAATACCGGTTTTTAGGGTGGTGCACCTCAACCGTTAGAAGGTGCACAAAAAAATTTTGGCCTTCTTACGAACGCCAAAAGTGCATCCCCTAGGCTGAACCTACACTACGCGCCTGGCTTTAAACTGTTTTCTTTCTGTCAAATCATTAATTTTATCTTTAAAAGACATTATTCAAAAAGCAAATACCAAAATCAGAACCAGATCATTATATTTGAAGAGTTTCAGGTCGATCATTAATGTCTGGTCCTTTGTGGGTCTTAAGAACAATTATCAGCCATAAAAGATATTTCTGATATTCAATAATTCTTATTTAATAGTTTTCAGCCATAAAAGATTTTTCTAGATATTCAATAATTTTTATTTAATAGTTTTCCGCCATAAAAGATATTTCTAGATATCAAATAATTTTTATGACAATAATTGTATTATAGTGGGCCAACTTAAAGGTCTGATGCTGTAAAATAGAGTTGTAATATTTATTTTACACAATTCTGTGATAATTTTTTTTATTTCTAGCGGCTGGATGGGTGTTTTGGACTGCTAAGACTGAAGATCACTGTGCTCCAGAATGGGATTATCTGTTCCTTCTGGAGAATGGTATTGTTCCTGCAGATCTCTGTAACAGAGACACTATTTGTTGAATAATTTCAAATATATCTTTATAGAACAATCTTTTTTAATCATTTAAAACACACTGTTCATGTGTAAAAAAAGTAAAAATTATTAATTCATGAAATATAACAAAAGCATACAAAATTAAGTGTTTCAGGAGAAAATATTTAAAAACCTCTAAAGTAGAGGTTGTGGGAATATTTCCCCCCATTCTACAAAATTTAAAAATAGAAATAAAAGGAAAAGGAAAGGAAAGGATAAGGAAAGTTACATATTTATTGTTTACACTATATTTAATATAAATTGGTGGTGGATTGTTAGTATTTTTTGACGATGAACTAAAAACTTTTAGAAATAAAAATTATAGATTTATTTGTAAAGTTAAAAAAATAAATAAAAAGAAGCTTTATCGAGTGTGAAAGAGATATAGGTTCTATGAAAACCGGACATTTTTAAGCATCTTTTTAATTTGCGCTGTTTTTGACATCTTTTATGTTTGATTATATCTTTTACTCTTTTTAATCTTTTTATTCTTTTCTTTGTAAAGTAGGTAAATATTGGATTGCATGGAATGAACCGGTGTTTTCATCTAACAGCTTTTCTTATAAATGTTTTCAATGATCCTAAGTTAGTGAAATAGATGATTCCAATGGGACTATCTGTTCCTCCTGAAGAATGGGATTTTTCCTACAGAGACAATATATTTTAAATATAAATAACACTCAGTTTTTTATCGTATAAAACACACAGCTTTGCTTATCAATGAGCCTATTTGCAACCCTAAAAATAAAAGACTTTTCTTCATCGATCATTGAAAATGTATTTTGTTTGAAATTTTATTCAAGATTCAGACCTTTTTTACATTAGGTAAAATCGAATGGTATAAACTTAGGAGTTTGCTAAATCTTTCTTTTAATGTATTTAATGAATTAACTCTTTGAAGCGAACATTTTAAGTAATTACCAATTTTGAAAGTGTGAAACTAATGAGTTTGTACTTTTTAGACCCAATTATTTCTTTAAGTTTTGGAACCCCTGTAGTATAATTAGTCTAAAATTAGAAATTTTATTATTTTGTAAATCTATTTGCTTATCGTAACATCAAATACCTCTGTTAATGCAAAATTGAGATTAATTTGATATTTAATTAATTTTTGATCTTTCAGAATCAAAACAAACTTTTTATCAAAAATCACATTGATCCAGCTATCTTACATTCCAACAATTAAACTGGGGCGAAATATGCTCAGCTCTTTGGAGGAGAAGGTAGGGATATTTATTTTGCAAGGTTTGATCCCCGGCCAACTAAAGATTCTCAAGGTTCCAAGTGTTCATAGGCTTCCCAAAAATTCTCTCTAATCCATAGTTGATAATACCAGAAATACATGTATTTCAATTCTATAAATAAGTACGATTAACAATGGTTATAATTATGAATTAGGAAATACTGATTTAAAATTCAGTGATGGTGATGGACCAAACCTCTGTAGAGTAAAAAAGTAGATGTTAGTTCCACATTTATTGAAAATATATTTCGGTCTGGGTTGACCCTCGCCAGTTCTTGAGATTGTTTCTTCACAAAGATTAAAGATTAAATATTCATACTATTGAAGGGAATATGCTATAAAACAGTGCTAAAACAACGTTTTTAACTTCTGAAATAAAATGACCGTTTGGTTACAAAAATGTGTTGTTCAATGCAAAATACGAGTTTTAAGCGTTTACAATTTTTTGAAACGTGATCACTGCACGAGAAGATGTCTATGTTTTGCCGGAGCTAGGAAATGTTGGTTTGACCAGCGGAGAAAATTTTGGTCAAAGACGACCTTACGGCGGAGTTTTTAGGTTTTATGGTTTACAAAATTTATTGTAAAAAATTGAGTTCTTTTCACCAACTCAAATTTGTAGTCCGTACATCTTTCAAAACCAATTCCGTATACCTTCGATATTTCAAACTGGCAGATCAAATAATCAGGTTGCAAATGGATTAAAAAATTCAGTTCCTTTGCCGGTTGAAAAGAGTTAGAACTTCATGCTTGTCTTCTATGTTCTTGGATTAAAATTAAATGATTTTAGACTTACATTTGGCGCTCAAAAATGTGTAAGTCCCACACAATTTAAAATATTATTCTCTTACAAGTTTGCTTTATCATAGTATGTAACATATTATTCTCTACAAGTTTGCTTTATCATATCATGTACAATTTTATTCTCTACAAGTTTGCTTTATCATATTATGTAAAATATTTTTCTCTACAAGTTTGCTTTATCATATTATGTAAAATATTATTCTCTTACAAGTTTGCTTTATCATATTATGTAAAATATTATTCTCTACAAGTTTGCTTTATCATATTATGTAAAATATTATTCTCTACAAGGTTGCTCTATCATATTATGTAAAATATTATTCTCTACAAGTTTGCTTTATTATAGTATGTAAAATTTTATTCTCTACAAGTTTGCTTTATCATATTATGTAAAATATTATTCTCTACAGGTTTGCTTTATAGTACATTATGTAAAATATTATTCTCTACAAGTTTGCTTTATTATAGTTTGTAAAATTTAATTCTCTACAAGTTTGCTTTATCATAATATGTAAAATATTATTCTCTACGTGTTTGCTTTTTCATATTATGTAAAATGCTGACGACAATAGAATGTATAATCCTAAACAAAGCAAAATGAAACTAGGGTTTCCATTCGCAAAACTTTTGCGCAATTTTTGCGAAAGATAGCTAACATTTTTGCTTTTGTTGCGCATTGTTTTTTCGCAAATTTCATTTTGCGCAAAACTGCGCTATTCCACTTTTGCGTTATTCTGTTCTGCGCAATTTTGCGAAACATATTTTCATTAAAAGGTTGATTAAAGTGAAAATTGTACGGAGTAAAATTGATTTAGATATCATCTATTTGTTAATTAAGATAGAATATGTGTCCGTGCTAGGAATGGATTGTTTATTCTTTTCAAAATAACATTCTAATCATTTCGTAAACGACCACCTCTATACACCTCTATACACCTTTATACACCTCTATACACCTCTATACACCTCTATACACCTCTATACACCTCTATACACCTCTATACACCTATATACACCCCCCATTTACAGAACAAACATTAGGTCAGAAAACACTGATGAAAACCTATGAAAACAACATGAACCTTTTTTTAATTAAAAATTGAAATAAAATGTCAAAACTTATTTTCATTAAGGGAATTTTTGTTTAAACGCTAACGTTTTTAATAAAACGAATATTTCGTCATTTCGTTTTTCGTTTTTCAAAAGTTTAAAATGAATGGTTTTTTTCCTTTTTACATATTGTTTTTTTTAAATCGACGGTATCATCATTTTAGAAAAATTAAAAACGAAACGAAAAATTATCTGTTTTTCGATTGTTTTAAAAAAATGATTAACAACCCTAGACTCTGTTTATTTTTTCTTCAAGAACAGTCCCTTTCTCAAAGTTTCATAATATTACTGCAGTATTTGAAAGGATCAGTAAGTAAGTCTCTCATTTAATGCATTACCTTGGTAGATAGATAGATAGATAGATAAATATATAGATGGATAGATAAATAGATAGATACTGAGACATTTAATTTAATTTAAGTTTGTGAGTAGTGATATTTCATTACTATTCTTCAAGAGTTGGAATTAAATTGAATATTCTGGAAGTCAGCAGAAATAGGACCATACTCTAACAATCTATATTTAGTATATAGTACCTTGATATTTTATTGTACAGCAGGAATAGGACCATACTCTAACAATCCATATTCAGTATATAGTACAGGGATATTATATTGTACAGCAGGAATAGGACCATACTCTAACAATCTATATTCAGTATATAGCACAGTGATATTATATTGTACAGCAGGAATAGGACCATACTCTAACAATCCATATTATGTACATGGTATATTGTACATGATACGGAGTACATGATACAAAGTTCATTATACAGAGAACATAGCCAATGCTTGTAAATACAGAAATCCATACATGACCATAGGCTTTGCAAATATTTATATACATTAGCCAGACATACAAATACTCTTCCATACATACAAACATGTATGCACCATGATCTATAAATATATGTACACAGCAATATTTCATAAACCTTACATACATACATAAATACACCCTAACGTGTAATGATAAAGGTTAATATCGACCTTCTCCCCCTTCCCCTATCCTTAGGAAACATATTAAAATGTTTAAAGATCTGTAAATCCTGAGTTTGAGCGCAAATTCGATGTTCAAAACTCCTACTTTGGGGGTGGATAGGCTTTCAGAATTAGTTTTTTTTTAATTATCAAATAACGACGACATAAAATGTAATAAAGTTCTACAATAAACTATAGACGTCATGCATAGGAACATGTTGAGAAAATAAAAATTAATCTGATCATGGAAAATAAGTAATCTTGTTCAATTATTAGTTTCTATTATCTCATTCTTCTGGTTTCTCATTATTCGCAAAGATTTTCGCAGAATTATTATTGAAAAGACGACATTTTGAGAATTTGAAGAAATCTGCGAATAAATTCAAAGAAAATTAGAAATTCAATATAATAATGAAAACGAAATAATCGATTTTCGCTTTGATTCATTGACAAATTTCTTTTGAGAAAGATGTTCCTAACCATCTATTAGATTATTGCATAATTTTTACTTTATTTTTCGTTGTCGTTATTTAATAATTTAAAAAAAANCTGTTCTATTCTATTTTACATATTCTATAAGATTCCTTTCGCTTTTATTCGGTTATATTATATTCTTTTATATTCTATTTTGTTATATTCTATGCTATTCTATTCTATTTTATTCTATTTAATTCTATTCTATTCTTTTCTGTTCTATTTTATTATCATTTTCTATTTTAGTTTACCTTATCTTATTCTCTTGGATTCTATTCTAATCTATATTATTTATCCCTTTCTATGCTTTCCTTTTTGTTGTCTTCTCATTTCAATCTATTCTATCTAATCCTTTTCTTTCTATTCTTTTATATCTTTCTCATTTTATTCTAATAGTAGGAT